CGATAACACAGTTTGGGTTCACGCCAAATAAATACTAGACTACCTGCCAGTAACTAATACTGTGGAGTTATTTACTCGGTAAATTCGACTTTATTGTAAGGGCTGAGAGGCGAAGAAGTATCAACACTTTCAATAAACTAGATTGGTGCTAAAGTGCTATTCTCGTGAATGGGGTTTGGACTAGCTTTTTAGTTTTATATATAAGTATTATTATTGAGTAACAAAACATTTATCATACTAGTGAAATAACATTTTTTCTTTTTTATAATATTTCAATGATATCTAACTCAGTGTATGAGTTAAATGTATACAGATCAAGTAATAAAGCAATTCCACGCAAGCGGTTAAATAAGTTTTGCAGAAGATTATATCGCTTTGTAATTTCTATACAAACAAGACAACGCCATCTATTTGTGAACGAGCAAATTAAAACATTTACTTGAAACCTCCTTGGTTCTGAAACAATGCAAACCTCATATCTGTTTCTTTATTCCGTGAATCTTATCTTAGGAATTAGTTAATTACAATGTAATAGAAAATAATAGGATGTTATTGTTTAAGTTACAGCTGAAACAATTTAAATTAAATATAAATTTAAAAAAATGTCGAATAAGTTGCTATTGTAACTTTGTAAGGAGGCGCACGCCATCTATTTCTTGCATATAAGAACATTTTAGTGCAACCTAGCTAAGTGTGTGTGTGGCTTAATATAGATTATAGACGAGACAATTTGGTTGTATTTGTATATAATATATTTCGCGGATTCATCAGCCAAAGGAAACAACTTTAGGTCAGTTTGTTCACTATTGATGTTGTAAATGTATAAGAGTTAGGTGAAGAAACACATACGCATCTTCTCAAAACTGCATCTTTACTTCTCATACTGAGGTTACATGAGCATACTAGCATATTTACTATACAAGCAATTCTTGCTTCGTGGATAGAAATAGAAACCCTATATTTTTTCTTAGACTTTGCCCCACACTTAGATTTTCACCTGTGCTGTGGAGACATAGTACCCAGAACCGAAACAACCATTTGTGGGTCACACATAGTGTTATTCCGTGTTCGGTAATAAAACCCACGGCACAAGGCATAGTAGCCAGGTAGTGACGAAGCGATTATGAATAATCCGTATCAATATATATTAGTAAAAAGAATATAGACACGAAATTTCCACAAGCGTAACGAAAAGATTTTACAAGTGACAGGCAAAAGAAATATTGCATCAAAGTTCATTCAAATTTCAGACGAATTCATCACATGATTATATAAATAAAAAAGATGTTTCCAAATGTTTGAATGCGCATTACTCTAGAATGACTGCAACTAATTAGATTAATATTTTATTAACATGTTCATTATTGAGAACAAGATTTGTACGAAATATTAATTCGACGCATTCAATCCAACATTAAGAAATTGCACTTATACGAAGCATGTTAAAAATATATGCATAACAATGTCCGTCACAAGAAAATCGATGTCAATAGAATAGTTAGGTACCTACACAGATTGCTTGGTTAGACGATACCTAATTGATAATTTACGGCAATTGTTCTTTGTATAAATGATACGTTGTCAATTTGAAAATACAAACAGACATCAATCGTTTAGATTGAACAATTTTGTAATGGTTCTATCAGTACTTACTGTTGTACTTTGAAATGTAATTTTTTTATTTGTACACGCGTACGTTTTTTATGGCAAAATTATCACAGAAATATAAGTCTTATTACACAGACGCGATAGTACTTTATCCTATTTTATATCATCGGCCTCTAAGTTCCTTTGGGATATACTACGCATCCAAAAAGCCTAAACAGTATTTCGCCAGGTCACTGAACCCGAAAACTCACGCCCGCATGAAAACCATGATAATTTCAGTTGGTCATTACGTGAGTACAACAAAATTTCTCATTAAAACGCGGCACACTGCTCTCAATTAGTGCAAGCGTATTTATTTACTGGAACTAAGAGGACGCACAACAAAATGGAATGTTTGGCTGCTGTTTACGTCAAAATTTAATCTAGGAACAAAGGACGTAAGCCTCGCTTCACACCTGTTCATTTAGATTGCCATTTTGTTTGTTTCACTTAAATATTTATTTTATTTCTGTGTGAGAGTCATGCTTTAGCATGAATGAGCGGCTCGACAGGGTTACCACGAATTTATAGAAAAACAAGCGTGAGCTAACGCTAGCCTTGTGACTCACATTCACTGTGTGAGCGAGGTTAGCGGAGGCTCAATCTAACCCTGAACTATCTTCAAATCTCCAAATACCTAGCCCCAAAAGACCGCAACAAACTTATAAATACTCGACGTTGCCGGCGGCGGCGATACTTTGCCAACAGGTAATGCTCGTTTATCAAGAAGATCCATAAAAATCAGTCTTAATGTTATTAGCCAGAACTGCATATATAAATTTGTTACCTACTTTTACAACGGGTACTTTATGGTTCCCATGAGGATTCCTTTGAACAAAAACTTAGTAAAAATTTAATGACGACTCTTGATAGCTTTTTATTAAAGGTGTAAACCTAGGGACAGTAATTATCACCAGAAAGCCCGTTTAACTGTTTTACCAACCAAACGTTACCCTATCAGCCCTCTAATTGGTTGGATAAGTTTTAATTTAGAGTCAGTCAGTCATAGGGCCGAAAGCCATAAAGTAAAGCACTAGATACTCCTTTTACTAGCATACACATATCTATCTAACTTTTTACGAAAAATGCACCTTATATGTTATGAAAGTGAACTTTCACAACTAACCATTGACTTATACAACATTAAAGTTTTTTTATGCGTGTTTTTGTGAATATGATGGATGACTTTTGGTTAGGTTAACATGCGTAGACAACGCAGATATGTGACCTTGTTTTAGTGGAAGGCTTGTGTCCTCAATTCCCTTGCGGGAGTAATATAAGGCAATCTTAGGAAAAGACTGGCTATCTACACTTTGTATTTGACCTTCTTTTAATGATCACAGACTATGTTTTGTAATCTATTCTCTATGATCTAGGTAACTAAAAAGTGTTGCGTTTAAAGGATAAGGTACACCAGCTCTTTTAATCTATACTAATATTATAAAGCTGAAAAGTTTGTTTGTTTGAACGCGCTAATCTCAGGAACTACTGGTTTGTACTGAAAAAATATTTTTGCATGTAATAGACTATAAAACATCACGCTACGGTATGTAGGAGCCGAGCAGCGGGTGAAACCGCGCGAGAGTAGCTAGTTTCTAATATGAAGAAACCTTTATTTTATTTTGTGGATAATAAATTGTCAAATGACTTCTTTCTCTCGCCCAGCTTATGGCAAGAGGAAGTGTCAGACTCTTACTGACTAAAAACCCCTCGTTCCATCTGACTCAAGACTAGGGCTAATCATTAGCCATTTTGGCCCTCCTAATGAAGAAACCAACGATAACGACTTGACTAATGCCCGGTTCCTATAATTGAGAAACGATCCGTTTTAGTTACGAATAGTAGTTTTATATACGACTCGTAAGCTAAAACCGTTCCTATAACAAACGTCTCGTCGTGCAACTTACTGACGGTTTGCAAGTAACGGATGTCGGTAAGCGAATTGTATGGAGATCTATGGTGTCTGTGGTGTTCCTATAAATATTTTAACCGTCAGTAGACGGTCAAGATAACTATTCGTAATGTCATTTGGTCGTAATGCGTATACAACGACGATTCGTTAAATATAGGAACCGGGCATAAATAAACAAATTGATTCTTTTATTACAAGTAGTAATTTATAAGAGATCGAATCTAACTGTACTCAGTGGCTTGCATGAAGAAACCTACAATTACGACTACGTAAATCGAATATTTTAGTAATCTTTTTTTAAAGATTAAATCCACTTATACTCAGTGACCATAATTCATAAAAAGAGGTTCTAGTTACACGTATGTTTATTTAAATCGATGAACAAAATCGATAAAGCCGAGCCAGATCACTATAATTCTTAGTTTGCACGTAAATGCGCACATTAACCAAACATAATTAATTATGCACAAATGGCTTCCTTCATTCAGTATTCATAAGCTACACAATTTACGTTTGTATGCCATACGTGGGGTAACATACATATGCATAATTTAAAGGACAGGTTAGCACATGATAGTACAAAATATTCTATTTGTTATATGTATGTACATAACTATATATAACAAACGACAAATTTTGGCAAGAAATTTATGTTTTAAACTGAGTTGTTTTTACTTATATTATAAACTAGTTGACTCGGCTAACTGGGGTGTGATTCTGTAAGACTTCATTCTAAACTTCGAATCTGAATCCGCTGTGAGTAGTAGTACACTAGCGCTACATTTGCGAGTTGAACTAAATTGACAGCAACATATTGATAGATATGAGATGACGTTATAAGTGCCATTTTAAAATTTAATTACCCCGTCACTTCGACGTTCACTTCGCACTCGAACAAGATTCAAAATCAAACAAATTAGCAAATTTTATAGAATCGAACGTGCTGCTATTAATAATTTTGTTCCTTTGCTTATAATGGAACAATTAGTTTGGTACAAAATTTGTTTTAAAATTGATTTTCTTTTTATTAAAGATCAAAATTAGCCATCTGTTCAAAAGAACAGCACTCATTTTATTTTTAACAAGAAGATATGTAAATTACTGGCGAGTGAATTTGTGATAAATACATAAGTATAATTTATGAGCAAAGTCAAGTGAATAAGTTTAGAACAATCAATGAGCGATCTACTCGTATATGAAGGTCAAATATATAATTCTTTTAAAAATTGGCTTTTTACAAATGTTTTAATAGTTATCGTATAATATTCGGATTGGCAGTTCAGACTTTGATCCGCAATATAATTTTCTTATAGTCTATGGGTAGATTAATAATAATAAAATCATTTGCTTTTTGAAAGTTGTTTATTATTATTAAACATCCTACATGCTTAGCCGTCCAATACTTCCACCCTGAGGAAACGATGGAGCATACGGTGGCGGTATGTGCTCTCCTTGGGCTTACCACGCATCGTTGGGCTCGCATCCTGCCATAAGGCATGCCATTATTCGAGCCCATGTGCAGAGTAAAAGGTACTGGGAAGCTGTCTCCTATTTCTGCGATGCAGTGATTCCCAACAGAGCTGATGTTCAGCCAGGTTTGTGGGAACAAGGAACCGCATCCCCCTAAAGCAGGATGAAGGTGTTTTTAGTCAATAAGAGTCTGACACTCTCTCTCAAAAAAGAGCCGTCGTATACTACAAATTTTTCATCCTGTATATACCTATATACAGTATAATACTGTATAATGTACATAAATAATTAATATTATTATTGCACTCAAACTAAATTGTGTTAATGTAAATCAATTAATAACTCATTATCGAAGCAAATTGATGTGTAAATAGGATTGGCCTGGAACAATACATATAATGCTCATTAAAGATGTTCATTTGTTACCTAACGATGGTGTGCCGGAATAATAAATAAGAGGAACGATCAATGGGCGATCTACTTGCATATGAAGGTCAAATAAAGATACCTATCTATACAATTCTTTTGTAAATTGGCTTTTTACAAATGTCTTAATAGTTATCGTAAAATATTCGGATTGGCAGTTTAGACTTAGATCCGCAATATAATTTTCTTATAGTCTATGGGTAGGTTAATAATAATAAATTCATTTGTTTATCGCATCACAAATGTTTGGTAAATACAGAAGTTTCTTAAACTTGAATAAGCGCGTACGTATCACATCCAGACTAAGACTAAGTGTAAGGATTATGAAGAAATAAATTATTTGAAAATGATTTTTAATGCCATTGTAATACAGTTAGTAATAAGGTGGCTTGTTTGTTACAGCGTTGGCCGCCATGCCGCGCTGCTACATGGTAAAGAAATGTGTGCAGCGCCATGAAGGGCCCCCACCGTGCAGCCCGACGGAGGCTAGCGTGGCACCGCCATGCTACAGCCCCGCCGAACACTCTGCCCTAACAGGTAGGACTTAGTAGTAAAGTCAGCAGCCACGAGAATACGACCCTTATCCGCAAAGCGAATAAGGTCGCAAATCCAATTCAAGGTGAGTGTGGCTCGAAACTTTTGCGTATCGTTTTTATTCACAGGGAGTTAACGCTTGTTACTTTAGTTTTAGTACACTACACGCTAGAAACACGACTATATTCGCTGTGAATGTAGCCCGCCACGTTTTAGATAGCGCACACAGTATATACATATGAATAATAGTCGTTAATCACACTTCTTATATTTATATATGATAATATTAAGCTTAATAAAACTGTATTCTGTTTACTGACAGTCATAAATGTTACACAGATTCTATTCAATCATCACAGACTATACACAAACCAGCTATAGAACTGTCCCATGCGTGAATCAAACTAGCGTTATGCAGTAACCGATCGCTCACGCGAGTTGCATCGCACAATCTTGTTCAATTTGTATGCGAAATTGCGACGTTGCAGGCCAACGCATGATATTCGCTTGTAGGGTTTCTGTATCGAGTTTTCCCATTAAGCTGTGCGTTATACGGACGACAGCAGTTCAACTTATTCCAATCTGTCAATGTTTTTCGTTGGGTTTCCGATTTTATGCTCAAATGATAAAGTTGAAAATCTAATAAAGGAAAAGAGGTTGACCTGCTGGTGTTGTTCTACTTATATGTACAGTTGAATTTAACGGGAACATTCTGAATTACTAACAGGTGGGCCATAGCTTCAGTGGGAGTAATAATATAAAGGCACGACCGGTGTCGGCTGCTTTAAGGCGGTTACCGAGCAGTCCGGGCAAACACAACAGGTTGATTTTGTAACCGAGTGTTGCGAACATTTACTTCATCTAAATTGTATGAATGTTTAATAAAAATAAACCTCATTTTCTCTATAAGTACAATAAGTATTAACAGTAAGAAAAAACCAATTATAAAACATAAATAAAATTTTAAGCAAGTTATTGCTTACGTTAGGTGAAATATGATGATTTTATGTCGCTACAATGTGAACTATAGAAGAAATATTTTCGAATTATAATGCCTATGTTGGACTCTGAGCCTGTTTATTAAATGATAGCTAAATCTATTTGATGGTATCGACTTCCTCAAATATTAATGTGTGCCGATGTCAGAGAAGAATAAAAGCGGTGAGTTTTCTTTTGTTTCCTCAAATTGCCTTGCCGCAACAAGTGGACTCATTTTATGTTCTCAGGTAATATTCATAGGCATTTGTTGGCATGCTTTCAAAAGGTTTGTGATATTGTTGTATCACAAATCTTAAATGTGCTTTTCGATTACGTAATCAGTTCTACATTCTGTGTTCTTTGAATGTCTGTTCATTGGCCCGTAAAATCCATTATTCAACATTAGGAAGCTATAACTACGAAGGGAAATGCAACGCGAATTTCAAAATGAAATTTTACGTTAGCAAACATATCTCTCTAAAATGGACAGTAAACCAATTTCGACCTTTCAATCTTGTGTAACCCTGGTTAATAGGTTTACTGTGTATGTGAAAACAAAGCAAGATACACGCCACTCCACGGTATTGAGTTCAAAATGTTAAATAAAACGAAACACGAAACTAAAATTTGACTACAGAAAATTCACGTTTCAAAAACCACGAAATAAGGAAAAAATATCCTCTGAAAATCTGCAAGCAATTCAATATACCTATAGATATATTGTACGTGTAGTACAATATACTAGTTTAAAATTTAGTGTACAATCTAGCTGATATACCGAAAACAAAATATTATTTTAAATAATTACGTATAGAAGCTGGCACATTGTAAATAAAAAAACCTTAGTTATAAAGTAAAAAAGACGAAAATGGCTTTTTGCTTTACGATAGTCGAGTAATAATGGTATCCAAACGCCGTTAGTAGGTAGAGACGCGAATATTAAATTACAGACTTTTTTATCTAAAGCAACCGCATATTACATAAATATGACGAATGTTATTCACAACTCCATACGGCTTTCATTGATACAAAAGAAAATCGGCGAAATGAAAATTTATTCAGCCAGGACAAAGTAGACAAACGAATCGGTGTTTTTACTGATTATTCCACGCCCATGACGAACAATGGGTTTTAAAAAATCATAGCTGGAAAATACACTTTAGTGAATACACATAGAGGTCTTTTATGAATCTTTTATATTATGTAGCATATCAGGGGGTATGGAAATTCTATGTACCGCCCCTGGCCAACAAGCTCTCCGATACAATATGTGATTTTGTAGTAATTACAATGCGTGGGATTGACGTAATGGAAACAATAGGGCTGTCGCATCTTGTCTTCCCATAATTGTCAGCCCTAGACACTGCCCTTCCTTGATGTCGATGTCAGCTTTATGAATAGAGTTTCGGAATTTGACGTTTGATTGAGATATAGTTAGACTATTCGTGTACGCCTCACACAATGGCCACAAGGAATTGATTTGGCGTCTGTTACACTACCTTCATATTCGTATGTTTAATAGAAAACAGAACTAACTCATAAAAAAGGATATTTCAAAAGTGAACCTTAACATTGAAATATTAATTTTAGATTCTAAAATCTTCTTTTTTGAGTTACGCCTCTTTTCTGTTAAGCTTACTAATTTACAAATACACGATAAACTTACGTGTTATGTTCTTTGGTATAATACGTTTCATATTCAAATTTGTCAGGCACATATCGGTTATATATAAACATTTTGAAACAGACAATTAGTGTCAAAGGAGGTTACAGATTAGGTTTTTAAGTTACTGATCTACTGTTCAAAATTATATATTATTAGCGGATTCTGTTTTTGTTTTTCTGTTTTTTTTTTCGTAACATTTTTTTATCCTATCAAAAGGAAACCAATAATGTTTACTAAATGTTATCTTTATTTTTAAAACGTTTGGCTGGACATAGAATTACTTGTTTGCACTTTACCAGTTGATATAAATGAGTCCTGGTTAGCATTCCGTTTACTTATTCATGCGATGAGTGTCTTGTATGTTAGGTATTCTCTGAGGACTAACAGAGGTGTTGGCCTCGTGCACTCCAGCCGGGACTAGTTACAGAAACCCCGAGTTATTTGCTGCACTCCAGCGGAGTAGGTGCTTTTAATTTTAAAGCAAGTTCATGTTAATGAATATAATCATTTCGTTAATTGTTTTTTGAACGAAATAAAGAGTTCCAGCTATAACTTTGGCTCTTAAAATTCCGCTTTACTTGAACGTTTGTGCATTCTTAATGGTGTTTACTAGTCGTAGTTCCCCGAAGGCCGTTTAACACCTGACTAGTACCAATGTAACATTTTCCGAGTTAAATGTACTTTGTATTATTATTTAGATACCACTGAGATATGGTGATGGATAACGTCGAGAGGAAACCTCGACTTATAATTTCTAATCATAAGTTTGAAATCGCCAACCTGCCTAGAGCAAGCGTGGTAATTAATGCTCAAATCCCTTCCGTTTGAGAAGAAGCCTTTGCTCAGCAGTGGGCCCTCATACATAGGTTGATGATGAGATGTAAAAATGGTTTGAAAATATATAGTCGTATAGGTTATGTTGATACGTGTAATCACGCAATCGTTTCGGAACCTATAAAGTTTCAACATCACGCTGAATTTTGAAACTTTTTAAATAAATGAAGGCGCCAAGCAACCGAGAGGCGGCAACAAGTAACTGACGCTAATTGGCTTTGAGCTATGAAATCGTGTTTAAAACTGAAGTACGCCGCTTCATCTAAAAATAACTTGTCAGTAACAGATTTCTTGAAGCCCTACAGTCGTTCATTGACTTGTTTACATTTTATTTTTATGCTTAACAGTTAAGATAAAGTGAGTAAACAAGAATATAGTTTCATGCAAATATGCCGTATTAACTTTATTAGACGAAGGCAAACGTAGTGTAGGGCGCCCTCCAGCTAGGTGGACTGACGACATCCGCAGGGTGGGTGGCAGTGGTTGGATGAGTAGAGCTGAACATCGAGCTCAGTGGCGTGCAATTGGGGAGGCCTATGTCCAGCAGTGGACGACAACAGGCTGATGATGATGATGATGATGACGAAACTTTATTAAATATACGTGTAAGGACTGTAGCACTCTGTTTATAATATATGTGTATATATCATAGGGAGCAGTCACTTTTAATAACTTACCTTTGCCTTATATTAAAAGTTACTTAAGTCATGTAAATACGATGCTGCTTCATTTCCTTGTGTAATAAGATAAGATCGATCCCCTCTTAACTTCAAATACCGATAGTATCGACGATTCCATAAATCGGAACTATTTTAAATCGAGTTTAAAAAACGATTCGATTTATGCCGTCCGCTGCGCTACGGAACGCAATGCGGTGTCAAATGAAATTTATCATAAATTGTAAGTGGCTCCCTCCCGTTTCGTCTCAATACATTCGAACGTTCTCAATAAAATAAGGTTCACTAGATCATTGGAAACTTTCTTCGTATTTCCTTTCTCAATTTATTTTGAATAGATATAATATTTTGTTTAAATTACATATATCAATTCTTTAAATAAAATGTCGCGTATGTATCTTACTTATAAAATGTGTATTCATATTTATTAATATCCTGTTCTGGGAAAATATGTTCACAAAGAAAATTTAATTAAAATTAAGATTGAAGAGGAATATGTTTCATAGGAGGAATTCCGGTGAATTTGGAATCATCTTATCTCGAAACTGTATATCAGGGACGAGGTATTAGTGTTGCGTATGCGATATGACATGTCAGCTTAATATGTGTAGTGTTGGAATGATCGACAGTTCCAATTACATGCGGTGCGATTCGCATTAGTTAACTGCAGCTAAGTTACAAACGATTTAATAATAATCTCATAGCTATGAATGAACGAACAATACATATAGCACGAAACACGATTTGTGACATCTTTAAATACCATTTTTATTCAGCTCTGCAACACCCAAAGGTCACGCTGGTAGATAATGCCAACGGCATTAAGTCCGCCTATGTGCGAACATATT